AAAAATCCAAAAATTGTAAAGTCAAAAAGTTATAACATCGAGACACTGAAAAATTAAATATCAAGAAATTGAAAAGTTTTAAAATCCAGCCATTGAAAAATTAAAGAATTTTAAAACCGCAAAATTGAAGAAGTGGTAAAATTTTTTAAATTACAATTATTATTACATATTTAAAATGAAAACTAGAAAAATTGCAAATCTAAAAATGAAAACTAAAATTAAAAAAAACTAAAAAATGAAAACCGAAAAATTGAAAAAATAAAAAAAAACCGCAACAAAAAATTAAAAATTTTTTAATGACTCGTGAAATTACCAATCGAAAAATTGCAAAATCTATAAATTGAAACCTCCGGAAGTTGGAAAATTGAAAATCTGAAAAATTTTAAAATAAAAATCTCGAACAATTCGCGGGACAAAAAAAATTGCAAATCGAAAAATCTGAAGAAAATTCAGTAATTGAATAAATGGAAAAATTCTAAAATCGTAAAATTGAAAAAACGAAAAATTTTAAAAATCATTGCATATTTAAAAGGAAAACTAGAAAAATTAAAAAAGAGAAAACAAAAATCGAAACGAAAGAAAAACTGAAGAATCAAAAAACTGAAGAAAAATAAAATACTAAAAAATAAAAAATCGAAAAATTGAAAAGTCGAATAAATGAAAGCGTTTTAAAATCCAATAATTGAAAGATGGAAAAATTCTAAAATCGTAAAATTGAAAAAACGAAAACAAATTGTGCTGACGTCATCAATTTTTTGGAGGGGATAAGTAAATATATTTTGGTTAAAAATTAATCATGCTTATCATAACTGTAAACCATCTGCAAGATTTCAAAGCATTCGGTTTTGCAGATTCAAAATTAAATTGCAAAATGTTGTTTTATATTTTTGATTTTTTCCCAAAAATCTGGACGTTTCTGGTAAAACTCAATTCGGAGTCATAAACGATTTTGAAGTGACGCCATCATATTATTGGTGGGAATGATTATACAAATTTTGGTGAAAGCTTTGAAACATTTTAAAGCTTCCAACCTTTGGAATCTTTGGAATTTCTATTTTCTTAAGATTGTGCAAAATTTGATATTTTGAGATTTTATAACTTTCGATTTTTTTTAATTTTTCAGAAATTGCAATTTTCAAAATTCTTAAATTTTCCAGATTAGCCGGATTTTTCAGATTTTACACAGACAAAATGCCCGGAATTTACAGATTTTCCAAAATTTCTAAAATTATCAGGCTCCGGTTATGTCAAAATTTTGAAATTCAACCTTTGCGTAAATTTTTAACATTTCTAGGATTACATTTTCCAATTTTCTAATTTTTTCCAGATTTTCCAAAATTTAGACTCAATCTGTGGAATTTTTGGAAATTCTGGAATCTTTACAATCTCCAAGATTTGTCAGATAATTAGGACGTTCAAGACCTGTAGAGTTTTAAATTTACAAAAATTAAAGAAAGCATTCCTTTATGATTTTTACATTCTAGTTTTCTTTGGTCTTTGGAATCTTTGAAATAGTTGGACCAGAATTTTAAATATCTTTTTAACGTTTGAATCTTCAAGAGTATCTTTAGAGTTTTTAGATTGTCTAGAATCGTTAGAGTTCTCAGAGTCCTTTCAAATCTTTAGAAACTTTGGACACTTTAAAAAATTATACGGAAATTTGTGTCATATTTAACAAAACTAAATTTGGTATCTCGCTCCACTTGCATAAAGTGTATCAAAAGTTACATCTAAAGATGTTGTGAAAGCCGGAGACGGAGACCAAAGCATGACTGATTCAGACGTGTTGTTTACACCGTTGCCATGGAAACCGTGCGTCCAGTCGCGATATTGCACTGGAGTAGGGTCCAGTTCCAACAGTGCCCAGGAGCAGTAACTCGATTAATTTATTCGGGTTTTAATTTGTATTCACTATTTACAATCACTAAATAGGAGTATTGTTATTCCTAGAATATTTTGTAAATTACTTGCAAACAGCATGTAAGTGGGATTTATAAACTTGATGTTTTAAGTTTCTTGTCGAAATAAGTCTACAAATACTAAGGAAAAAAGGCAAAATGTAGCCCCACCCACCCACCCTATCTCAATTGTGATGATTTTTTTTATTCGTCGAGAGCCAAGAAGGCGGAGCTTAACTGCAAAATCCCTATTTCTCTACGAGAAATTAAGACAAAATTAAAGCCAAAGACTAAGCTCCACCCATCCCTGCCTTGATCTAAATAGTAGTGAAGTTTTCATTCGTCGGCAGCCCTAGGGGCGGAGCCTAATTGCAAAATCCATATTTCCACACAAAAATTTACCATTTTAAACGCGTCTTAACTTTCTAAGAATACAAAAATCATCACAATTGAGACGGGGTGGGTGGGCGGGGTTTATATTTTGCTTGTTTTCTTAATATACATAATATTCTTTGAACAACACGATACTCAAAAACATGTTTTACGTAATAATTTCTTGTAGAGAAATAAGAATTTTAAGCTCCACCCTCTTGACTCACGATGAATAAAGAAAGTCATCACAATTGAGATGGGGTGGGTGGGCGGGGCTCATATTTTGCCTTTTTTCTTAATATTCGTAGTGGTTTTTTCGCAACAAGAGACTTAAAACGTGTTTAGAACAAGAAATATTACGGATTTTGTCATTGCGCTCCGCCCCTCAGTCTGACAATAAATGGAAAATTAATCCAAGATCTTTGTGATTTTTTAGATTTTGTTGGATTTTTTCCATCTAGAATCTTCAGTGTATTTACAGTTCGCAATTTTTTGTGTTTGGAATCTTTGAAACTTTGAAACCTTTTAAATCTTTCAAATTCTTTCATTAGTTTTTCAATTTTTCGATTTTACAGTTTTTCATCTTTCGATTTTTCAGGTTCTCGTTCTTGATTTTTGTTTTTCTTATTCTCGATTTTTTGATTTTCATTTTCTCGATTTCATATCACGATTTTTCCGTTTTACAATATTTATGTCGATTTTGTAATTTTGTAATTTTAAAAATAAAAAATCGAAAAATTGAAGAATTAAAAATTGAAAACTGGTAGCATATATTAATATAAATACAAAATTTGACAACAATCGACCCAGTGCTTTCGGAGATTATCTGTCTAATAAAAATCCGGGACGGCAGAGAGACAAACGGACAGACAGACAGACAGACGGAAACGGGAAACCCATTTCTTTGTACTCAGGTGTCCTGGAAGGTCGAGAAAACGTAGAAATCGTAGTTTCTTCTAGCTTAATTTGAAAATTAAATTCCTCTAAATGTAATTCCGCTAAGTTAACACAAATTAACATAGATTTCAATAATCGTCCAAGCTTTTCGTATTATTCCATAATTAAATTTATCATTTACGTAAAAGCCTCGACGTAGAAACAGATTCTGAATAATCTAATCAGTCAAAGAAATCAACTTTTTTTCAACGTCATTTTAAAACCTAAATTTCGCTAATTTATCACAAACTTAATAAAAATAAATTTCAATGCAGTTCAACGTGTCAAAGATAATAATCTAACAGGATTATTTTGACGAATGTCTAATTCCATTTTTTTTGACGTTTCCATACTTCTATCGTCTGACTGATTACTAAAAAATTTAATTGTCTTTTAGAATTATCGTGTGGATAATAAAACGTCAACTAAATTTTTCTACTCGTTCGGTTTAAATATTGATGACTTCGTTTCAAGGTGTTAAGTAAATCTCACTGGAAATTTATAGCCTGACATTCTCCTTTAACTGTAGCTTAATAATATGCTGCAGTATGTAAAAAAACTTCAGTCCGGGTCATGTTACGAAATTGTGTCAGATTTAAAAACGATGAGAACAAAAGTAAACAAATTGCGTGTTAGTGTTTTTTACAAGTGGATATTTTACTAATAATAAAGTTACAAACTATCTCAGTAATCTCAGTGATCTGTTGATTTGTAGAATTAGTATTTTTTTCCAAATTAATCTCTCTTATCTTTTTAAAAAATAATTATATGTTCTGATATAAAAAAATTAAAAATAAATGGAAATCAATTTCATCATCTTCACCTTAGTACTTAGTGATATAATACTATGCATATCTGGTTTATTTTGATAAGCGAATGATTGTAATTTTGACTTCTTAAATAGAAAAATATCATCACATTGGAATTAAAAATACTGCAGACTAAATATTTGGCGATTTAAATAAATAACAAAAAACAATAACACTGATTTGAATGTGGCGAAAATATTTGGCGATATTGCGCCAGTTGCGCTATCTAGCGGCGCCTAGTTTAGCCAGCGCGGGTTCTCGTCTCGGCTATTTTGCATTTCACCGGTTTTGCATCAACACAACTTGTCTTTTCAGCAAAATCCAGTAACTTCCCAGTTTGTTGTCTCGCGAAGCCTGCGTTTCTCGTTCTCTTCTCCGAATCCCCGTCCTCCGATTAGGGAGGTCACGTTCCCGTCCAGAAATAGCCTCCCGCTTCTCGGAAAGCCATCGTGAAGAATTGATTGTGGGTCGGTGTATCATTAGAGCACTTTATGCCGTTTTCCCGCAATAAATCCTTTGTCACCTGAACGTCGAGCTCGCCCGTGCACAACGCTATCATAATAACGGTGCCGTCTAGAAATAGCCTGAACTTGAGCCAGCGAACGCGACGTCCATGTTTGGCCTCTGCAGCCGTTAACTCCGGCAAAAAGCCGGAGGAACAACATCTGGCGAAAAGCGCATCTCGGCCAGCGCGGAACTGGGTTAGGGGGCGGCGGCGGGGGGCGCGAATCTGGATCTCCGAAGAGATGTTAACATCGATGTGGAAATCTCTTATCAGCAAACAGAGGCTGCAACGTTCGGAGTTACGCAACGGCCTGTTACACGTCCATTCATTCATGTCTAGCGGAGCAAGGCCGCGCTTCACTCCTACCAGCTTCATTCATAAAACTGCGTTTGTTTACTTTCTTGGTTAATTGTTGACGCGGGTTATGCAACCAATTAAACGTTGCGCGTGTGATGGTTAATGTGGAGTGGATGGTTTCAGAGCGACGATGCGGACGTGGTCACGCTGGGCACGATGAAGACGGAGCTGGTGGACGACGGCGAGGAGGCCCAGACACCGCAGTCGCTATGCGAAATACAGAAGGTGCCTTCCATCAGCGACCTCTCAGATCCGGAGGCGTCTTTGGGTAAGTGGAGAGTTTAAAGTAGCAAGAGGCGGATTAAAATGACTACTTTCGTATAATGCGGAGATATAGATTATAGGTTTTTTTTTTGAAAAAACAACTGGCAAAAAATTAATGTCATGTATACTTTTTCAACATAAAAAAATTGTCTCGCAGACATGATTATAGTTTTTCGGAGTTTTAGGAGGTTTAACCTCTGCAAAATACCAATGGTGGTTCGGTAGGTTATGTTTCTGCCTCTGATTTTGCACCTAAATCAAATGAAAATTGGTGGTAATTCTACAATGCAAATAGTCTTTTTTAGTCAACAAACGGGAAATGTTGTCTTTAATTAGGCCGTAAAACCAAAAATTGCATATTATTAGCTTCATGGGCACTTTTCTCCATTAATCACCAGTAGTTTGTTAAGAGAAGTGTTACGAATTGTCTATTGTCTCCATCCTCCGGTATAACTATCCCTCAGTGGAGTAAATTTTAGGTGGAATTTTTTATAAAAAATGATCGTGTGGTGGTTTAAAATAGAAATATCCCTCTGCTGCACGAACAAAACACTACGAAATACAACATTCTTTTATTTTTTCTAAATACAACATTCAGGCTCCCCAAGACTATTTCCATTTATTTTGCAAAAACAAAATATGGGTAACTAACATTCTTTAAATTAAAAAAAAAATAGGAGCTCCCAAAATTATTTCAAATTGTTTCACAAACAACACGAAAAACCCTTGAGATTCTTTCAAATTAAACCAAAAAATTCCAAAAACACAACATGAACAGTTTACATATTCTTTGAGACTAATTAGGAGAAGTCCCCAAGACCCTTTTACACTACTTCTAAAACCCAAATTCACAAACCCCCCAAGATTTTTTCAAAATTTTCTAAATTAAAAAAACTTGCCCACAGTCTCAGAGATTCTTTCCGATTAATTCTAAACTTCTCAATTCATTACTTAATTAACTTAATTCATCAAGGACCCCCAAAGCTTCTTTCAAATTCTTCTAAACACGAAGCGCCACAGGTCTAGATCTTTAATGAGAAGCTTCCAAGACCTTTTGTACTACTGAAACCCTCGAGATTCTTTCAGATGAATTCCGAATCGAAACACTTGGGACCTCCAAAGCTTCTTCCAAATTCTTCCAAAGACGAAACTCCAGAGGCCTAAGATTCTTTCATATTGTTCTAAAAACACAACACCAGGAACCCCAAAATTCTTTCAAAAACGCAACCCTAGGAACCCTAAGATTCTTTCGAACTGAAAAAAAAAAACACATCAAAAGCTTTCCCAAGACCCTTTTACACTAATTTTAAAACCCAATACCAGAAACCTCCAAGATTTTTTCAGATTAATTCTAGAACAAAACGTCAAGCACCCCCAAAAGTTTTTTTCAAATTCTTCCTAAAACGAAACGCCAGGGGTTTAAAATTCTTTCAAATTGTTCTAAAAATGTAACAAAAGAAGCCCCAAGATTTTTTCAGACTAAAAAAAAAGACCTAAATTTTTAATGAGAGGTTTCCAAGGCCTTTTATACTACTTAAACCCTCGAGATTCTTTCAGATGAATTCTGAAACAAAACACTTGGGACCTTCAAAGCTTCTTCCAAATTCTTCTAAAAACGAAACTCCAGGGGCCTAAGATTCTTTCAAATTGTTCTAAAAACACAACACCAGGAACCTGAAAATTCTTTCAAAAACGCAACCCTAGGAACCCTAAGATTCTTTCAAACTGAAAAAAAAACACATCAAAAGCTTTCATGAGAAGCCCCCCAAGACCTTTTTTTACACTAATTTTAAAACCCAAGACCAGAAACCTCCAAGATTTTTTCAGATTAATTCTAGAACAAAACCTCAAGCACCCCCAAAAGTTTTTTTCAAATTCTTCCTAAAACGAAACGCCAGGGGTTTAAAATTCCTTCAAATTGTTCTAAAAATGTAACAAAAGAAGCCCCAAGATTTTTTCAGACTAAAAAAAAGACCTAAATTTTTAATGAGAAGTTTCCAAGGCCTTTTATACTACTTAAACCCTCGAGATTCTTTCAGATGAATTCTGAAACAAAACACTTGGGACCTTCAAAGCTTCTTCCAAATTCTTCCAAAAACGAAACTCCAGGGGCCTAAGATTCTTTCAAATTGTTCTAAAAACACAACACCAGGAACCTCAAAATTCTTTCAAAAACGCAACCCTAGGAACCCTAAGATTCTTTCAAACTGAAAAAAATACACAATAATATTTAATATTTAATATTTAATATTTAATATTTCAAATTAAAAAAAAATAAAAACACAACATGAACAGTTTACATATTCTTTCAGACCAATTAGAAGAAGTCCCCAAGATCCTTTTACACTATTTTTAAAACCCAACTTCACGAACCCCCCAAGATTTTTTCAAAATTGTCAAAATTAAAAAACTTGCTCACAGTCTCAGATATTCTTTCCGATTAATTCTAAACTTTTCAATTCATTATTATTAACTTAATTCATCAAAGACCCCCAAAGCTTCTTTCAAATTCTTCAAAAAAAACGAAACGCCAAGGGTCTGAGATTCTTTCAAATTGTTCTAAAAATACAATATTAAGAAAAATTCTCTTAAATTGTTCCAAAAATATAACCCAAGGAGCCCCAAGATTTTTTCAGACTAAAAAAACACCTAAATCTCTAATGAGACGCCCCCAAGATCTTTTTACACTACTTTTAAAACCCAACACCAGGAACCCTCAAGATTCTTTTAGATGAATTCTGAAACAAAACACTTGGGACCTCCAAAGCTCTTCCAAATTCTTACTTCAGGGGCTCAAGAATCTTTCAAACTGAAAAAAAGACACCAAAAGCTTTCATGAGAAAAACCCCCAAAACCCTTTTACAGTGATTCTACTACAAAACATAAGGGACCTCTAAAAGTTTCTTTCAAATTTTTGCAAAAACGAAACTCCAAGGGCTAAGATTCTCTAAAAACACAACACCAGGAACCTCAAAATTCTTTCAAATTCTTCCAAAAACTATTAGGAACCCCAAAATTCTCTTAAATTGTTCCAAAAATACAACACCAGGAGCCGCAAGATTTTTTCAGACTAAAAAAGACACCTAAATCTCTAATGGGAAGCCCCCAAGACTTTTTTACACTAATTTTAAAACCCAACACCAGGAACCCTCAAGATTCTTTCAGATGAATTTTAAAACAAAACACTTGGGACCTCCAAAGCTTCTTCGAAATTCTTTCAAAAACGAAACTCCAGGGGCCCAAGATTCTTTCAAATTGTTCTAAAAATACAACACCAGGAACCTCAAAATTCTTTCCAATTGTTTTAAAAACGCAACATTAGCAAACCCAAGATTCTTTCAAAGTGAAAAAAAGACACCAAAAGCTTTAATGAGAAGCCTCCAAGACCCTTTTACAGTAATTCTACTACAAAAGTTTCTTTCAAATTCTTTCAAAAACGAAACCCCAGGGTTTAAGTTTCTTTCAAATTGTTCTAAAAATACGATATAAGGAACCCCAAAATTCTCTTAGATTGTTCCAAAAATACAACTCAAGGAGCGCCAAGATTTTTTCAGACTAAAAAAGACACCTAAATATCTAATGAGGAGCCCCCAAGACCTCTTTATACTACTTCTAAAACCCAACACCAGAAACCTTCAAGATTCTTTCAGATGAATTCTGAGACAAAACTCTTGGGATTTCCAAAGCTTTTTCCAAATTCTTTCAAAAACGAAACTCCAGAGGCTCAAGATTCTTTCAAATTGTTCTAAAGACACAACACCGGGAACCTCAAAATTCGTTCAAATTGTGTTAAAAACCCAAAACTAGGAGCCCCAAGATTCTTTCAAACTGAAAAAAAAGACACCAAAAACTTTCATGAGAAGCCCTTCAAGACCCTTTTACTCTAATTCTAAAACCCAACACCAGGAACCCCCAAGATTCTTTCAAATTAATTGTAAAACAAAGCACTTGGAATCCCCAAAAGCTCCTTCCAAAATTTTTCCAAAAAGAAACGTCAGTTCCTTAAAATTCTTTCAAATTATTCTAAAAATACAAGACCAAAAACCCCAAAATTCTTTCAAATTGCTCCCAAAATCGCTACACAAGGAGTCTTAGATTTTTTCAGTTTAAAAAAAAAGACCAAGAGATCTCATAAGAAGCCCCCCAAGACCATTTTTACACTACTTCTAACATCCAACACCAGAAACCCTCAAGATCCTTTCATATTAATTCTAAAGCAAAACACTTGAAACCCCCAAACCAAAACCTTCTTTCAAATTGTTCTAAAAATACAACACCAAAAACCTCAAAAATTCTTTTAAATTGTTCCAAAAATACAACACAAGAAGCCCCAAGATTTTTTCAGACTGAAAGAAAGAGACCAAGAGATCTCATGAAAAGCCAATAAGACACTACTTCTAAAACTCAACACTAGAAACCTCTAACTTTCAGTTCAATTCTAAAACAAAAACATTAGGGCTCCCCAAACTTTCTTTCAAATTCTTCCAAAAATGAATCTTTAGGTGCCTAGAAAGATTCTTTCAAATTGTTCTAAAAACACAAGACCAGGAACCTCAATATTCTTTCACATTGTTTTAAAAACACAACACTAGGAACCCCAAGATTCTTTCAAACTGAAAAAAAGACACCAAAGGCTTTCATGAGAAGTCCCCAAGACCCTTTGACGCTAATTCTAAAACCCAACACCAGAAACCTCTAAGGTTCTTTCAGTTCAATTCTAAAACAAAAACATTAGGGCGCCCCAAACTTTCTTTCAAATTCTTCCAAAAATGAATCTTCAGGTGCCTAGAAAGATTCTTTCAAATTGTTCTAAAAACACAAGACCAGGAACCTCAATATTCTTTCAAATTGTTTTAAAAACACAACACTAGGAACCCCAAGATTCCTTCAAACTGAAAAAAAGACACCAAAAGCTCTCATGAGAAATCCCCAAGACCCTTTGACGCTAGTTCTAAAACCCAACACCAGAAACCCCCAAGATTCGTTCAGATTAATTCTAAAACA